TGCCCCCGCGTGGTGTAGATGTGGAGAAACTGGATGGCTGGATCACACTGGAGTATCTCTGGTTAGTGGCATCCCATCCACGTCTGTTAATTCCTAAAGTAAACAATAAAATAGAAGTTGACTGTGAACTCATCTTTTAAACGCATTAAAAAAAAAAAATCTCTGGAAATGTCAATACACTTTGTCTTATTATGTCTGAAGATTATGCAAAGATTCAACAAACATTATATATCTACTAAATTAAAAAGAAATTAAATCTCTTCATTTCAATTTACATAGTAAAGTGTAGTATCAACAAATCACATAATGATATAATTGCAGTACCAAATTAAACAAAATCAAATAAATAACTACTTCATGGTGAAATGGGTAAGGGGATGGAGGACCTAAGTCCTAAATCATAAGCTACTTTGGGGTAAAAAGTGATGTCTGATTCTTCACTTCCGTCAGTGAGCCCTGTATAGTAGTAACCACTGAAAAATAATCACTGAAAATAAATAATTAGATTCTACTTTCTCTTCCTGAATAGATACTTTTTGACTTTAGATACTTTTAAGATACCATTTGACTCAATCTTGTCTGGGGAAAAACAGCTACCTACCTACCTATATTCCAAAAGAGCTCTGGTGGCATGGTGCCTGAGGAATTTGATTGTTAACCGGAAGGCTGGCAGTTCAAACCTACCAGCCACTCCAAGGAACATAGATGGGGGCCTTGGTTCCATAAAGATTTACCACCTGGGAAACCCAATGGGGGCTGCTACAAGTCTGAATAGATTTGATGGCAGTGGTACAGAAGTAATTTACATCTGAATAAAGTACATTGAATTCTTCTATAGGAGCACATATATTGTAATAAAGTATTATAATCCATTCACAATATTCTACAAATATAAAAATGAGCCAACAGAACTATTTTTTCTGTATTGTAGTAAAATATGTATCACAAAATATTTGCTGTTTCAACCTGCATTACATGTGCAATTCAGTGACATTTATCACTTTCACCATGCTATACAACCATCACCACTATAATTTCCCAAAAAGTTATTACCTCTAACAGAAACTCTGTATCACTTAAGCAGTAACTCCCCATTCACTCTTTCCCCCAGCCCCTGGTACTGATATTAGCTACCAAAGAGTGAGCCCCCAACTATGGCAACCCCCCGTAGAACAGGATTGGGCATTGTCGTAACAACGTCTTTCTTCCTAGTCTTAGTCTGGAAGCTCCATTGAAATCTGTTCAACATCATAGTAACACGCCAAGTGACAGATGGGTGGTGGCTGCACAGGAGAAGACTTGGCTGGATATGGAACCTGGGTCTCCTAATGTGGAAGGTGAAATTTTAACAATGAACACCACTGCCACCAACCACTGATAAAAACTTTTGTTTCTATATATTACCTGTTCCAGAAATCTCCTATAAATGAAATCATAGTATTTGCCCTCTTAACGCAAAAACCAAACTCACTGCCATCTAGTTGTCTGATATATTTCACCCAGCATAAATGTTATCAAGTGCCATCCACATTGTGGCATGTATCTGACTGAATAATATTCCATTTTATGGATATACCATTTTGTTTATCTGTTCATCTATTGATAAGACATTTGGGTTCTTTCCACCTTTTGGCTATTATAAATAATGCTGCAATGAACACTGACACTGGTGTACAGGTATGTTTATAGCCTTGCTTTCAATTCTTTTGGATATATACAGTGAAACCTGTGCTGTGAGAGCTGGAACCTGATGGGAATGCCTTGTTTTTCTGGGTCTTGCATGATTTCCACCTTTGACAGGGTGCAGTCTTACCCCTTTTCCATTGCCAGTAGTAGAAAACAGTTGTGTTTTCAGTCTCTGACAGGTTTCCACCTTATACAGATGTTGTAGGTTTTACTATACCTAGGAGTGAAATTGCTGAGTTATATGTTAATTCCATGATTAATGTTTCCAGGAATGGCCAAACTGTTTTTCACAACTGCTTTACCATTTTATAATCTCTTCACAACCTTGCCAATACTTGTTACTTTCTTTTCAATTGTTTATAGGAATCCTAGTGGTTGTGAAGTGGTACATCATGGTGGTCTGGATTCACACCTACCTAATAATGGGAGTCTGTGGGTGGTGCAAATGGTTAATGTGCTCCCCTGATAACTAAAAGGTTGGAGTCCACCCAGAGTACCTCAGAAGAAAGCCCTAGCAATCTACTTCTGAAAAATCAGCAGGGTAAACCCTACGAGCACAGATCTCTGATACACATGCCTTGAGTTAGAATCAACTCAACAGTAACTCTTTTTTTTTTCAATGACTAAAGACATTGAGCAGGAGCTCTGGTAGTATAGTGCCTACGGCACTTGACTGCTAACCAGAAGGCCGGTTGCTATGAATCCTGTCGCTATGAATCCTGTCGGACTCGATGGCACGTAACAACAACAAAGACATTGAGCCTTTTCATGCCCTTTGTTAATTTTTTGATTTTTAAAATCTTGTCACTTCAACCACCTGATTACTACTTGGGGCCAAGATCAAAGCCATTCATCGTTTCTGGCCGAATTAGTAGCTGCCATTAAATATATAAAATTGGAGTGATGGAAAGTATACTCAGTTCCGAAAGTTCACCTCCCAACTCTGAGTCACTTAATTAAACAAAAACAAACAAAACAAAAAACCAAACTCAAAGCCTTCGAGTAGATTCTGACTCAGTGACCCCCACCAAGTTAGATGTGGCACATCTTTACAGCAGTAGACTGTCCCCATCTTCCTTTTGGGAGTGGCTGATGAGTTTGAGTCGCTGATGGGTTTTGACCTTATGGTTAGCAATCAAATGCCTTAGGCACTGCCATCAGAGCTCCAATAAAACCAATGAGAGAAAAACACAAAACTAAAGAGATCTGCTAGACCAGATCCGTCAAATGGAGAGTTAAAATGGTATCTTACATTTTTCCTAAAGTTTCAAATCCTTTTGGGGATGGCAGAACTGAAGAAATTTACTTCTTCCCTTTGTACACTGCTTGCAGCCTTAATATTTATCAATTCCAAGAGTTTTATTTACACTTTTTTCATTCATCAAGCTATCCATTCACCATTTACTTTTTTAATTACTACACATGAAATCACAAGACAAGGTTTAAGGGTCAGATAAATAGCTCTAAATGATGTGAGGCAAGGGAGACAGCATCTGGCGACACCTTTAAAGGCTAAGTTCTAATTCTAAGAAAATAAAACCTAACCATTCAAGTGACCCTTGTGCCCTGTGTTGTATCGTGGTTTCAAGTCTGATCCCTCCTTTTCCTGAGGAGACTACTTCTACATCATCCATAGTTCGTCTACACAGAAATACTCCAACCTCTTCCAAGGCTCAGAAAGCAGGTCAAACAGACCCCACACTCCCTCCAAGAGCTCTTAATGATGCATCCCACCCTACTAATTTTACGAACTCGTGCATTTTTCTGCGATATGGCTCTCCAACTTTTATCAGATTTTCGAAGGAGTTCATTTCACCAGTCTTGATTCTGACCCAAGCTGTCGGCCTCTTACTTGAGACCAAAGTTTTTTTAAGAATTACAAGGCTAATAAGAAAACAAGGCGTCAAGGCCCAGTTACGCCAATCTTCCAAACACTGTCGTTTATAGGCAAAGTGCTTTGATACGTACTTGAGACTGAAAAATTCTTTGGTATGGACACCCACTAGTAAACTTCTGTTCTCGCTTATACGGTCAACAAACACATACCAAGAGGCCAATAAGCAGATAAAAACTGGATGCCGGCATCGAAACGCTGGGAAGGCGGAGACCGAAGACTCGACGCGATCACGTGCAGTCACCTAACCAGTGCGACTGGGCGCTGCGCAAACACAGGGACTCTCGTTTGGGGCCCGGGGGCAGCCCGTACCCTGCCACATGGACGCCCCCCCACATAACGGCCCTTCCTTCCTCCGCAACTGGCGGAAGATTTAGGGGCACACATTACCTGAGGGCTGGTGCTGAGGTTGTTGTCGTCCCCCGCTCGCACCCCTGGTGCTGGGATGTTCATTCCAGCACCGATCTCCAAAGCGGCACCGGCCTTGAAGGAAAAACTGACAAATGGCCATTGAGACGGTTCGCTTAAGGAGCGGTCTTCAGTCTGCACACCCAAAGACTAGCACAGTCCGACTTCAGAAGGAGCTCGGCCCCGCTTCTATGACGTCATCTACTCGCGCAAGAGAAAGGCCGTTTCTCTTGTCCCGCCCTTTGCAATGAGAGGCATAGGTTTTACCCAATAGGATTTGAGGAATGCGCAACGCACTAGGTACGGCCCGAGAAGGCGGCACGCTTGAAACCTTACCCGGAGAAAAGGAAAGTGTGTTAGATCCTAGTTGTAGAGCCTTGGACTTAGAGGGAGTCTTGAGTTCTAAAATAAGAGGAAAGCGGATCAAAGAAAAGCCAGAACCTCAGTAAAGCCTTGAAAGGATTGTTGTTGTTGAGAGGATTAGCCGTGATTTAAGACCGGCTGTTCTGTTCACTTCTAACTACTGTACAAGTAGTTCACTTGTAACTACTCACAGAAATTTGAGCAGTTATTCAGTATGTATAAAGGGAAACCATTTTGGTTCCAGAACAAGCAAGTGGCTCGAGGAATGTATGTACAGCAGGGCTTATAGAAGATCAGCCATTGGCTATTCTTAACAGGACTGATTGAGCCCTGTTTCCGCCTTTACTGAGATAAACTGCTATCAGGTTACTTACTGGCCAGACTGCTAATAATTTGGCCCTCCACCCATTGCAGCCTTGAGACTTTGAGATTTAAATTAGGAGGTAATCGTTTGATTGCTAATCCTTTTCTAGCAGGAAAGGACAAATTTACATTGCTATAGGGCGGTTTCTGGAAGGTTTTTTCAGTTTGGGTCAGACTTTATGGTTAATATTTGGTTTCGTGGATATGAAAAACTTAAAGTAAAATGTTTGCTATTAACTTTCGCCTTCAGCACTCCTCAGAAAGTAAAATTAGCTCAGGTTGAGAGAGTAAAAATTTTCAGCAGCTCAAGATGAATAACAGACAGTAAACAGGAAGGCGCCCTAGTGTGCAATGGTTAAGTGTTCAGCTGAAAAGTCCTAGGTTGGAATGCACCACCAGCTCCTCTGGACCTGGCTATCTGCTCCTATAAATACTGTTGTTGTTGTTGTTGTTTGCCCTCGAGTCAGCCCCGACTCATAGCGACCCCTCCTTGGGTTTCCGAGGCAGTATCACTACGGAAGTAGGATTGCCCAACCTTCCTTCCGAGGAGTGGCTGGTGGGTTTGAACCGCCAGCCTTCCTATAAATACTACAGCCTAGGAAACCCTATGCAGTGGTTTTACTCTTGTCATATAGAAATCCACTGGATGGCATGCAACAACAAAGTTAACAGAAAACAATGGGTCTTTTAAGCACACACTGCAGGTGGAAAGTATAACTTCCTTTGAGATGACTACTGTCAAAGAAATTGATAGCAAAATCAAATTGCTTTGATTTTGGAGTTTGTTTATTCAAAACGAAATAGTCAAAGAAATCCCTGACCAAAATCCTCCAGCGGCTTTTCTTTCACCCAAAGTTGCAAATGCTCTTTCCTGCCGGAAGCCATGCTTACTAAATTTGAATTTCAAAAGGTATGGCTGGGTGGAGGAGCAAAACATCTCAGATGAACTGATTTCCCTTAATCTCAGTAGAAGGGGGAGGGCTGGATTCAATCGAGTAAAGAGATTAGTTTATGGTTGACTTATTATATCTACTAGCCTCTTCGAGGGAGTTCTGGTAGCATAGTGCCTAAGGCGCTTGACTGCTAACCAGAAGGCTGGTGGTTCAAACCCACCAGCCACTCCTCGGAAGGAAGATGGGGCAATCTACTTCCGTAGTGATACTGCCTTGGAAACCCAAGAAGGGGACTATGAGTCGGGTCCGACTCGACCGCACATAACAACAACAGCCTCTTCGAGCCGTTTGCGTTTTCTGGACTCAAAATGGTCTCCCTATATGCAAATCTTCTGCAAAAGGTTGTGTTACAGCCTAAAATCTAAAAACATTTGGTTTGTGAAACGCTGCGGTCTCTTCTCACCACTAAACCAACAATGTGGCTATGCTTAGACCAGTCCCGGCATGCCTAGGGAGGGGCAGCTTGCCTTCAACCACCAAAAAGGTAGTTGGCCAAAATAAGAAAAAGCTAGGAGGAGCCAGTTTCCTATCCCCACCGATTCCCACGTGAAGGACAAACTGGCACAACAGTTTTGTTGATTGTTATGTACATTATCTGATTTAAGGTTGGGGTCCTGGTACTAAGACTCTGGGTCGCATGATCATGATCATATGCCAACCACCATGAGCTGCTAAGTAATTAAAACACCAGAACCAATCTTACAACCTTTTAAAATCTGTAATTATGTACATAAGCAGCTCTGGTGGTGTAGTGGTTAAGGCATGTGGCTGCTAACCAAAAGGCTGGTGTTTCAAACCCACCAGCTGCTCCACAGAAAGATGAAGCACTTTGCTTTTGTAAAGATTTACGGCTATGGTCAGAAATGACTTGAAGGCAATGAATTTGGTTTTGGTTAATTATGTATGGATCCCAGTCCTTTACCACTTCTGTAGTCCCATCTATGACTGATGAATTGACCTACCACCATCTTGTAATTTTCTTTGTTCTGTAGTTGTTGTTGTTGTTATGTGCCGAGGAGTCGGCCCCGACTCATAGTGACCCCTCCTTGGGTTTCCCAATCACCACGGAAGTAGGATTGCCCAACCTTCCTTCCGAGGAGTGGCTGGTGGGTTTGGGAGTGGCTGGTGGGTTTGAACCGCCAGCCATCTGGTTAGCAGGCAAGTGTCTTAGCCACTATGCTACCAGAGCTCCCTTGTTCTGTAGTAGGGGAAAGAAACTCCAGATTCAAAAGGTTCAATAGAGATAAAACCTAGTGCTATTTCCCCCACGCTGGCACCTGGATGGGGCTAGGTAGACTGGATTACCCCCAACTATTTCCCCCACCCTGGTTAAGACAGATAATTAGATAAAACCCACAGGGGAATAAGTAAACTGGATTACCCCCAACAATTTTCCCACCCTGGGCAGATGAGTATTCAGTTCCTTAAAGAATTGAATGGAAAGCATTCCTTCCTGCAGATGATAGACTTGCTAAAAGTATTTTAGAACTAACTTGTAAATTAACTTTGGCCACAGAGGATAGAAATGTTTTAGAAACAACTTGTAAATGAACTCTGGCCCTAGGACATAAAGGAACAAAAGTTAATTGCTGACCCTCTCCCCTCTGCCCAAGCCCCTATCAGCTGATAACCAGAAGCTAGTGACTTGTCCATCACCCATTTCACACTCACGTCCTGAATTCCTCAACCTTTTGTGAATATGCATAACCCCCTCTCCGGAAACCTACAAAAACTGTGTTTGATGGCATCTCCGGGAGTTAAGATCTGGGTACTAACTACCCCTAACTCCTTGCACTGCTGCTTTGCAGTAAATAATTTTCTCCCCTCTCAATCTCAGTGTGTAAACTGTTTTGGCCTGACTGCCACCGGGCAGGGACCCGCATTTGGTCCAATAACAGACACTTTTATTAAGCTTTGGACAGGATAAAGACTAAACAAAGACAGTCATCCAGGATGAGGGAAACCATCAGCGTGTAGATAGTACAGAAAGCTGAATGAAGTCCACTGAGTCATGGGCATGGGGCTAATTATATATGATTGAAAACAAAGGGAATCATCACAAAATCATGACTGGGGGCAGATCGATTCAGTGCTTTTCCAGGCGGGACTACAGTAGCAGAAGGGAAAGGATTATGATTGGGATACATACGTAACTGAAGACAGAAAAGGGTTACAGGATTGGTTCTGGGCCTTGACTACCTGGCTAGGTGGTGATCCGGATATGATTCATAACCATGGGACAAGAATCATAGCCACAAAGTGGATACAAAACAATACCGGGACCCCAATCTTAATTTAAATTAGAAAAAGATATGCTCAGCCAAGTTCCCTACTTCTTAACTGCATAATCTATTGGGGTATGTGTGTGTGTGTGGGGGGTCCTTGCCTTTTACTTACAAAGAATTGAACAGGAGAGGCAAAATGTCCACATGAACCAAAATTTATTAAAGCGAAAGGAAAGAGTTCGTGAGGGAGAGATGGAAAAGGAATTGTGCCTAAGCTAGTCTCCAGTCTCTCACTGACCAAAGGATTTCCTGGGGTTTATGAAGTCAGGACATTAGACAACATGTAGCATTGGGAAAGTCAGCCACGAAGGAACTGTTTCAAGTGCTGAGGAGTAAGGATGTCTCCTTGAGGACTAAGGTGCGCCTGACAGAAACCATGATATTTCCAATTGCCTCTAATGCATGCGAGAGCTGGACAATGAATAAGGAAGACCGAAAATGAGTGATGGTTTTGAGTTGTGGTGCTGGTGAAGAATGTTGAAAGTACCATGGACTGCTAAAAGAACTAACAGATCTGTCCTGGAGGAAGTGCACCTGAGATGCTCCTTGGAAGCGAGAATGGCCAGACTTTGTCTCACCTATTTTGGTCAGGAAGGTTGGGCAGTCCTACTTCCGTAGTGATACTGCCTCGGAAACCCAAGGAGGGGTCGCTATGAGTCGGGGCCGACTCGACGGCACATAACAACAACAACATTTTGGTCATGTTGTCAGAAGCGACCATTCCTTGGAGAAGGATGTCATGCTTGGTAGGGTGGAGGGTTGACGAACGAGGGGGAGGCCTTCAACGAGATGGATTAACACAGTGGCTGCGATGATGGGCTCAAGTATAGCAGGGATCGTGGGGCGGTGCAGGATCAGGTAGTGTTTGGTTCTGCTGTGCATGGGGTCGCTATGAGTCCGAAACAACTCGACGGCACCTAACAACATCATAAAGGGTTTCAGGTGGTGGTGGGGGGAAGGGATCATCTTTATTCATAAAATGGGGAGGGGTTTTAGAAAAAGATGGGATTATGAAAATCAGGTGTGCTCACAGAAAGTAGCCAAGATGGATTCCTCCGCAAAGGCTGTGGGAACAAAGACAGAACCTGGCACCAAGGCTGAGTCTGGGATGTTGAGCATGCATGGTATCTCTGGACCCT